TTCCTGTTAATATAGAGGCATTGTTAGTGCCTGCAGTTTGACTAACAACAACTAAAATCATATTTAACAGACTGCACATGAAAAGTTCTTACAACTCTTGATATCTTTAGGTTGACAAACAAGCATTGGGAAAAAGAAAAGTATAGTGAGGTCACATTGCAAATAAGTGCTAGTGACAGACCTAAAACTGAGCTTCTGAATGTCCAAATAGCCCCTAAGCCTGCTGAGCAACGCCACTCCTTAGAGTGCTTTGGTAAGGTGAAAACCCAGCAAACCGAAACACAAATTAGACCACGTTACACACTAATACAAACTAACTGCAAAGAATAGGTACAGTTCTCTGATAAAGCCAGGCAAGGAAATTTTAGTTTCTACATACAGCGAATAACACAAAAACACAAAGGTGCTTTCTGTATCTCCCATTTTCACTAAACTCTTGACATATATTGCAAGCTAAAGTTATTGAAAAGGAAAAACATTTCAAAGTTATTGTGTCAGAGATAGGGAAGAGAAAAAGACACATCATCTCATAATGTATTAGATTTAGAATGTGAAATGTTTGACTTTATCATTTTGAGTTAACCATTCGATTCAATTCAGTATACTTAGATAATAAGAATAGATTCTACATTGTACTTTATTGTTCATTTTTGTTGGCGACATCTATCTAAGCCATCCATTCAACTTACCACATTTCCTAGGAAACCAGCTACCTGATTATTGAGTCTAAAATCCATACCTTCCTACACCCATGCACTCTGAGGAAAAGAAGTGTTGCTGTTGAATCACATCTTACATCTCACATATATATATATACATACACTTCTGTGCGTACGTGCATATCCACTCTAAAACCAGACACCCAATATTTTGGTATTTTCTTAATCTAAGGATGTGATTAGTCCATGATGGGATGTCTGTGAAAAGTTTTATTCTAAATGTATTCCTCACATTTTTAAGTTATAGTACAGTGGTATCCAATAGACACAGATAATATGAAAATTAATTTTAATTATATTTTATTTAACTAAATGTAAGCAAAGTGTTATCATTTCAACATATAGTCAATATAAAAATTGAAATATTTACATTTGTTTCTTCAGAGTAAGTCTTTGAAAGCCAATGTATATCTATTACACTTACAGTTCTAGTCAATATGTACACTAAATTTTCATCAGAAATACTTGTATCACTATTTCTATTTCAAAACTTTACTGTTGAAAAAGTAGATCCAAGTTGTTCGAAACATACTCAAAAGTTTCTAATAACTGGATGAAGGACCAATTTTTAAATTTAAATTTTAACTAATTTAAATTAAATAAAATTAAAAATTTAGTTTCTCAGTAGCATTAATCATAATTCAAGCACTTAATAGCCACATGGGGTTGGATAGCAAGGGCTATTATCCAAATTCATATCTATCTCAATGAAAGAAACCCCACAGAACATCTCAAATATACTGCCAAAAGGTATTTTTGGAAACTGAGTAAAAATTGCTCTCCCTAAATGAGAAACTTTCTGTTTAACATCTTTCTCCCAAAGCTGTATATAACCCATTCACTTATCTTGAGAAACCTACAATAGAGTCATCAGCTTTAACATACTGATAAGCCTCTAATAAAACATAAGCACCTCTAGGATGCATTTCCACGATTGTATTACTCCTTAAAGGAAAAAAGCAGGTCAAATGTTTTTGTTGATTTTGTATATAGACATACAATTTTGTATTGATTTATTTATTCTGCTGAGGAAAGCTGTCACAAACTGAAGGGTAGGGTAACAGGATGCTGGAAAGATTAAATAATTTGAGGAAATATTTTAGTTAAGTTCAGGTCCTGTCTTAGCTGTATCTTTCCTGGCAATATCAAAATATGAATAACCTGTGAAAGTCATTCAGTAACCGAACTAACACCAAATCAAGAACAGGCAACTGACCCAAACCTAAGCGAAACTTTGCAAAGCCATGTTCTTGCCTCTCACCTCTGCAGGGTTAGTGGTTAAGAACTTGGTCTATTGAGTCAAGCTATCTGGGTTGGAACCCTGGCTCTCTCATTTGCTACCGATTTAACTTTGGATGGTTTACTTAATCTTTCTGTGCGTCATCTGCAAATGGCCATAATAATAACAGGACCTAAGTCACAGACTGTTATGAGGAATAAATAAGACTTTACATGAGATAAAACATCTTAACACAGCACTAATCCTGGCACACAGTTTAAGTCAAACTATTATCAGTACTTTTAGCCCAGAAATCAGGATAACAGAGATGAGGATATATCTTCAATAAATAATGGTTATAAATGAACAATATAAGTCCAAATACTTTATAAATACTAAAGTGCTATATGAGCATAAGCTATTTTTATCCTATATAAAGTAAGTTTACAGGGTAGCTCTGTTCAGAGAACAATGTATTTAATGAAAGAAATCCCCGATTTAGCCAGGTGCAGTGGCTAATGCCTGTAATCCCAGCAATTTGGGAGGGACGGCTTGAGCCCAGGAGTTCAAGACCATCCTGGGCAACATAGGGAGGCTCCATATCTACAAAAATGTATAAAAATTAGACAAGCAAGGTGGCACATGCCTGTAATCCCAGCTACTCAGTAGGCTGAGATGAGAGGATTGCTTGAGCCCAAGAGGTTGAGGTTGCAGTGAGTTATGATGGCACCACGACACTCTAGCCTGCATGATACAGCAAAACCCTGTCTCAAAAAAAGAAAGAGGAAAGGAAAGGAAAGGGGAAAGGAAAGGAAGGGAAAAGGGAAGGGAAAAGGGAAGGGGAGGGGAGGGGAAGGGAGGGGAGGGGAGGGGAGGGGAGGGAAGGGAAGGGAAGGGAAGGGAAGGGAAGGGAAGGGAAGGGAAGGGAAAGGAGGGGAAGGGAAGGGAAGGGAGAAGGAGTCCTGAATTCAACAAATGGAATCTTTGCAATGTGGCTTACTAAGTTATGTTGAAGTTTTTATAAAGCCTTTCTCCAAAAATCAAACCGACAGTCATTCACCTAAAAAGTCCTAACATGCACATCAAAACAAAATACAAGTTATTTATCAGTCAACATCAGTTTAGGGTCATCCATGTCTCTACAGGCAAAGAAGCATCGGATTTAACAGAATGGTCAACAAACTGCCTTGTGATAGTCCAGAGAATTCACACATAAAAATCTCAAATTTCTAAAAACAAATTGTTTTCACTAATACTGTATGCACCTTCTTCACCTTCCTCGATCAGCTCTCCTAACAAAATTGCCCCTTATTGGGTTTTTTGTCTTTTTCCTTCCCCTTTCTCCACCCCGGTGCAGTCATTAACTGGTATTAAAGGGCTAAAAGAGAGGTAGTAGCAGTGAATAGGAGAAACAGACTAATCTAACAATTGGATAAGTAACCCTAGAATAACCAAGGCCTAATTAAAACTTCAAAAGCCTTCTAACAGGTGATTCTAACCAGTCATAAACCTGTCACCTCCCTGGGTGGGGAAAAAAAAAAAAAAACTTAAAAACTCATTTTATTCTTTAATTAAAGATACAAAGTATACAAAACAGCCATTACTATTCCCAACCCAAGATGTGTCACTAAAATAGTAACTATAGAAATGCTTAGAGGGGAGAATTTTTAAAATAATTTTCTGGAAAGACTACAAGACTGGGAGATTGTTAATAATTTCTAATTTCTTGGAGTGTAGATTATTTTTATAATCCTTAAAGCATAAATAAAGGAAGCGAATTAACAGTAGACTCTCAGAGCTGTGAAAGTCACGCACTTACTCTAGAATGAATGCTTCATTAATTTTTCACACAGTGTGATGATGTTGCAATTTTCCATGAGCAACTATCAGAGCTTTCCTTCTTGATAAGTATCAAACCAGCCTAAATTACATCGAATACTCGTGCCTGTCATTGGCAGAAATATAATTTTGATGTACCTAGTATTTCCACTCACACCCTGGCCTGTATAACGTTACGATTACATTGCATCCACCCTGCCTAACGTCAGTATGTTTCACACAGTCACCCCTTTCACCCTTCTCTGGCTAAAGAGTTTTCTTCCTTCTGTAGACCTCTCCCCGGTGGATTTTACCTTAAATTCCACTTCCATTCAAACACCCAAGAGGCCAGATCTGTCTCTTCTACCCACACGCGAGGGCATATCTAGATTCCCGTGATGCTGAAAAAGATGTCCCATTTGCACAGACATCAGAACCCGAGTGGGCGCGCGGCGGGCCCTGTGGTCGCCGGCGCTGACAGTCAGATGCTTTGTCTCCTGCCTGGGAAGGCCGGAGCTGCATGGACACGTATGACAGACATTCTAGAACTAATAAAAAAGAACACCACAGCCCCGCGCAGAGGCAGCTCCTCCCGGACAGGCGATAGTCCAAGGCGGCCAGACCTGCGGCGACTGATCCGGCGAGGGGACGGAGGGGAGTGACGAGGGCTTTTCCCCCGGAGAAGTCAAGACGCCCCCCAGGAACCCGGGGCCGAGCAGCCGCCAGCCACCTGCAAACACAGACGGCGTGAGGGCGGCGCAGTCTCCCTGCCAGCACCCGGCCGCGCGTGCCAGGCCGGCGGGGACCCACTGCCTCAGTTTCCTCAGCCGCAGACCCCGGCCGGGACGCCCCTCAGGTCGCTCCACCCCGGCAGCCGGTGCCCCCGGGCCACAGCCAGGTCCTTGCCGCGCCCTCAACCCGCCGCCCGCCGCCCGCCGCCGGCAGCCCGTCCTCACCTGACAGCCACCCGCACGGAGCTCTCATCCGGGGCGCCCAACATGCTGGCGGCGGGCGGCGACAGGGCCGTTGGGCCTCCGCACCGCAGAGCTGAGGCGCCGCCGGGGCCGCGGGACTCGGGCACAGTAGGCTGGGGCGTCTGCGGGCGGCCGGCTCACCTCCGCCGCGCTCCAGCCATGTTGGGCGACTGAATGGAAAGGTGGCGGCGGCGGTGAGGCAGCAAGAGGAGGAGGTGATTCACTGCTCGCGGGTGCCCGCCCCTTCTCCCCCGCTCACCCCCCAGGATCTGGGGCGGGGACGGAGCGCGCTTGAACGGTGACCGCGCCGGTGGAGAAGCCAACAGGCCGCCGGCGGCCTCGGGGCGGCCGGGTGAGTGCGCCCTGCCCCCTCCGGTGGGGACGCGGCCTCCCAGCGGCCGGACTGGGGACTCCACGCCCGCCGGGGCTCTCCCGGCTCCTCGCCCCGCACTGCGTCAGCCGCGGCCGCGCGGCTGGGCCCTACCTAGCCCTCCCCCAGCCTGCGCCCCGCCCTGCCCTCGGCGGGTCACTGCCTGGCGCTACTGGGCAGGGAGGAGAGGGGGAAGGATGCCTGCGGCCGGCTGCCCTCGCCCGAGGGCGACCAGCCTGTGCGCCCTTCCAGGCTCTTCTAGGAGAAGGAAGCAGCCTGTGCAGGCGCTGCTGCCAGGTCCCTTCTAAAATCGAAGCTTGATTCAGCGGCGCGCCGGGAGCCAGCCAGCTGCTGCTCCGGTTCGGCTTTGTGTCCCACGTATAGCCTTATTGTCCTGTCTGCAGCTTGGACTTTGACCCCCTTCCCTAGCCCCCAGCTGAACGCTCTCCCTCCTCCCTCCCTGGAGTCGATCATTCATGCTAAACGGACTCCCGGGTTTGTCCCCTGTCTCTGGACAGCTGGGCTGTTGTACAGTCCATCGCCAGTTTACCAGCTCGGGTGAGATACGGAAATGATTTACTCGAGATTCCTGAATGCGTTTCTGTTCAATCATTTGTACACTGGTAAATGAACTGCACCCTGGTACTGCCAAGTGTTCCCAGAACTGAATATATCCACCAAGACCTGCTGTGTAGTAAATCCTTCCAAACTGATTTTCTTTCCCTTCTGGCCTTTAAAAAGCACCTCCCAATCCCAGGATTCTCTCAACATTGACCCATTGTGGTTTCTGTTTGTCACTATTGTGCTTCTACATGCCTTCAGATAGCTCTGTGGAAACAGCCTTTATTAGCTTTGCCACAGAGTATCTTTTGTGGACTGCTCCATACATCTCTATAAACAAACATGTGGCTTCATACAAAATAGTATCATAGATTAAATGGCACTATCCAAATAAAGGCACTACCTCAAATGCCTACAATCTACAATCACACACCTAATCATCTTGTTCAGCAGTGATACAGCAGCGTGGCTCAGAGAAGGCTGCAACACTTTGGGAAAAACAAGAAGTGTTTGATGATTTAAACGCATGGGAAGGCAGATGGGGTATATAATGATAGTTTTAAATTTATTCTGTCCCTTAATCTCACTACCCCTAAATCTTAACAGACATGTAACTGGGAGGTAAAGAGGGTAGAGATGCTGAGTATCCTTCTATAGATCAAATTGGTAGGAAAGCTCTCCTCTGGTTACTCTTTGGAGGGCCTTCAGCCTCAAAATTTATCCATTAACAAATCGGAGCTGCATTTCACCCTGACCTGGCAAGCCCATATCTGGGTGGATCTGGACTGGCCACCTTGCTGCTTTTGTTGATGAAAGCTGCAAGGAAAGCAAGAATGGCCCAGCACATTTAGCAAGAAAACTAAAGAGAAATTTGTATAATTCAAGACCCTCTTTAAAAAAAAAAAAAAAAAAAGTTCTTTTTATTTTATTTTATTTTGAGACAAAGTCTTGCTCTGTCACCAGGCTGGAGTGCAATGGTGTGATCTCGGCTCACTGCAACCTCTGCCTCCCGGGTTCAAGCAATTCTTCTGCCTCAGCTCCTGAGTAGATGGGACTACAGGCATGCACCACCATGCCCAACTAATTTTTGTATTTTTAGTAGAGACAGGGTTTCATCATATTGGCCAGGCTGGTCTCGAACTCCTGACCTTGTGATCCACCCGCCTTGGTCTCCTAAAGTGCTGGGATTACAGGCATGAGCCACCGCGCCCAACCTATTTTATTTTTTGAGACAGAGTCTCGCTCTGTCGCCCAGGCTGGAATGCAATGGTGTGATCTCAGCTCACTGCAACAACTTTCTCTGGGGTTCAAGTGATTCTCATGCCTCAGCCTCCAGAGTAGCTGGGATTTCAGGAGTGTGCCAACACATCCAGGTAATTTTTGTATTTTTAGTAGAGATGTGATTTCACCATGTTTACCAGGCTGGTCTCAAACACCTGACCTCAAGTGATCCGCCCACCTCAGCCTCCCGAAGTGCTGAGATTACAGGCATGAGCTGCCTCACCTGGCCAAAAAAAAGTTCTCATTTAAAATAACAATAGTGTACATATATGTCTCAGTAAGGGGAGTCACAAACACAAATGCCTACAGGAGCCAGGCAGATAGCTCAGAAGAGCGGAGCAAGGTGACTACTATAATAAAGGTGAGGACTATCACAGGCCCCTTCCAAAGGCGGTGGCCATCCTCAAGTCTGGCTGAATATTGCCTTGATGAAATGCAAATCCAATGCAGCCAAGATTTTTGTTTCTTGTATGTCTGTTGCTTCTCAAGAAAAAGAGAAAAACAGATCTTTATGCAAAAACTCCTTAGTTTTAAACACCAACAACTAATTCAGCACAATATTTACGTATGCTGCAAACCAGTCAAAATATGTCTCAGGCCAACTATAGTCCCAAGACACCAGGCTGGAACTTCTGGACAAAATATTAGCACCAATAATAGCTGTGGCTTTGGGTTCATATTGCACACGGTTTCAGGAAGAGGCAGTGTAGAATTTCAAATTCTCATTAATGACCTTGTCAGTAATTTTTCCCCAAATCTCTAAAGTTGTAAAATTAACATACTATTTTGTATTTAGTTCAAATTCATGTATAGCTACTATAACACCTTTCCTTTTGACTCCTCTAAATAATCTTAATTTTAAAAAAGTTCCAAGGGCAGAGCTTTTACTGCAAGAGTGGTTTAAGTCCTATTCCAATCATTGACTCAATAAATATTTTAAGTGATTATATGCAAACAAAGTGAGGGACAACAGTGATTTAGAGAAGAATAAGACAATGTCAGCACTTACAAGGAGTTCACTGTCTAGCACAGGAAGATATATTTGAAAATACATAAGTGGAATAACAGAAATTACAAGAGAAATATGATGAATTTTACCTGGAAGGGTAAGGAATTCTTCAGCTATAAACTGCTCGGGATGGTCTCCCTGAGTCCACTCTTGCCTTCACATTGCAGGAATAATGTCTTTTTTTTTTTTTTTTTGAGACAGAGTCTCACTGTTGCCCAGGCTGAAGTACAGTGGGGTGATCTTGGCTCACTGCAACCTCCGCCTCCTGGGTTCAAATGATTCTCCTGCCTCAGCCTCCCGAATAGCTGGGATTATAGGCACGTATCACCATGCCTGGCTAATTTTTGTATTTTTACTAGAGACGGGGTTTTGCCATGTTGGCCAGGCTGATCTCGAACTCCTGACCTCAGGTGATCCGCCTGCCTTGGCCTCTCAAAGTACTGTGATTACAGGTGTGACCCACCATGCCTGGCCAGAATAATGTCCTTTAAAACGTAAGTCATTTATGTCATTTCTCTGCCTGAAACCTTCCAATGGCTGCTAACCCAAATAGAATAAATTATTCTAGACTTTTTAAGACCTTCACACCCTGTCCCTGCCCCCAACTCTGACCTCACATTTTGCCGCTCTATACCTTAACAACTACTTTTTGGTAAGACTGGTCTTTCTATCTCTGGAACTCATAAAGTTCTTTCCTGCCTTAGGGTCTTTGCACTAGCTATACCCTCTCCCTGGAATGTTCTTTCCCCAGACCTTCCCATGGTTGGCTTTTTTTTTTTTTTTTTTTTTTAATTTCTAGGTTATCAGTTTAAATGCTGTTTTCTCAGAGGCCTCTCCTGATCACCCAATCTAAAATAGCACCCCCACAAAGACCAGCTACCTGATTGGCACCACCCGGCGCAAAATGAAGATGTGAGGGATCTTGTAAGAAAAGGAGGATAAAAATGGTATGAAAGGTAAAAAAATAGAAAGCTTTTCCCCTTCTTTAAGCTCTCTCATGTCATGGTGTTTTTTTGTTTGTTTGTTTGTTTGTTTGTTTGTTTGCTATTTAATGTCATTCTCCATAAAGAAAAGTTAAAGTTTTAGATTATTTCCATGACTTTTTCCATTTGTCTTTATAGTGTACAATGCTGGTTTTAAGTATCAATAGAAGAGTATTTAACTCTTACATGGGATTATAAAAATTATACAACTTATTTCATAGTTCATACATCCTTATGTATTTATTCTTAACAGTAGAAACCTTGCACAAAACTAACTCAACTGTTTTTATTTCATACACACATATGCTACTAACATTTCCTACCTTTGGCTTACAGATTATGTCAGGAAGAACTGAAAAGAAAGGAAACTACTCTGTCCCATCTTTCCTTTCCTTTTACTGACACGGTCTGGCTCTGTGTGCCCACTCAAATCTCACCTTGTTTGTAATAATCCCCATGCATCAAGAACAGGACCAGGTGGAGATAGTTGAATTGCAGGGGCAGTTTCCACCATGCTTTCTGATAGTGAATTCTCATGAGATCTGATGGTTTTGTAAGGGGCCTATCCCTTCACTTGGCACTCACTCTCTCTTGCTACCCTGTGATGAGGTGCCTTCCGCCATGATTGTAAGTTTCCTGAAGCCTCACCAACCATGCGAACCTGTGAGTCAAACCTCTTTCCTTTGTAAACTACCCAGTCTTGGGTATTTCTTCATAGCAGCATGAGAAAGGACTAATACATTACATCATCACTTTTGGAGTTAATGGCTGGCTGCTACAGGAAGTTATGAAAGAAGAAAAGAATAAGACTGGGTTCTTTGGTCATCTTTCAGAATGTCATTGCCTTCTTTTTGCATTGGAAGTGTTAAAGTAAACTATGGCCTGAGAAGGACTCTGTCCTTCTATGTTTGAGTCCTTGTTGATGAACTGTAACCTAGCTTAATAGACAAAATTTAAAACCTAACTTGGTAGCATGCACCTGTAACAATAGCTGAGTGTTGGCCAATCCCAGCAGCCATACTTGAACCACTCATAGACTGCAGAATGTGCAAACTGCATTCAAATAAGGCAAACACCGAGTAGTAACCAATCTCACTGTTTCTGTACCTCACTTCTGATTCCTGTACATCACTTTACCTTTTTTGTCTATAAATTTGTTCTGAACACGAGGCACCCCCGCGGTCTCTGTTAATCTGCTGTGATTCTGGGGGCTGCTCGATTCGCAAATTGTTCATTGCCCGATTAAATTCCTTTAAATTTAATTCAACTAAAGCCTTTCTTTCATCAGAAGCAAGTTCTGGTTTGAGAGAAGCATGGCTTCTAAACATATAGGTATCCCTGCTTCCTCCATGGAAGACATAGAACATTTATTGCACACTGGCTTTGAATCTCACTGAATTCCCCAGGGTGGTGATTCAACCAGAATTCCATGCTTATGAGGGATCACAAATGCTACATAAGAATGGCATGGCAAGGAACAGAGGACATGCATGTTGCACATATGTCTTCTGCTTATTCATATGTCACAGTGCCTTATCAAACCACACTTATAAAACACAAGTCCAAAGATAAAATTACGAATGTCAAGACAATGACAGCAGAACATTATCAAACCGAGAGTGTGGCCCTTCTGAACAGAAGGTTCTGTGTAACTGCGCTGATCTCTGACCCTGTACACCCAGTTACGTGCTATCATATCAGTCTTTTATTTCTTCGTAGCCCTTATCACTAGCTGATATTGTCTTATTTTTTGTTTATTGTCTGCCTCCCTGCATTTGAATATGGGATCCAAGATAGCAGGGATCATTTCTGCTTTATTCACGGATATTTCTGTAGTTCCTTCAACAGTCTGACACGTAATTTAATGTCTGACACATATTAAGGGTCATTAAATATTAGCTGAATGACTATATGTCTTTGGACAAATATGAGCCCTTTCTAGTCTCAGTTTTTTATAAGTAATGTACTTCCAAGCTTATTGAATTGTTTAGGGGTTTAAAGAGCTTTGTTTATCATATGTAAATCACAGCACCAGCTCCCAGTAAGGGCACATCAAAACTAATTTTATAATAAATATTTTTGCCCAGCATGCTGGCTCATGCCTGTAATCCCAGCAGTTTGGGAGGCCGAGGCAGGTGGATCACCTGAGGTCGGGAGTTTGAGACCAGCGTGACCAACATGGAGAAACCCCATCTCTACTAAAAATACAAAAAATAGCCAGGCATGGTGGCACATACCTGTAATCCCAGCTACTTGGGAGGCTGAGGCAGGAGAACTGCTTGAACCTGGGAGGCAGGGATTGTAGTGAGCCGAGATCGCGCCATTGCACTCCAACCTGGGCAACAAGAGCAAAATTCCATCTCAAAATAAATAAAATATTAAATATTTGTATAAATACATTGTTTTTTAAAGCAGGTACTGATGCTGCAGCTGCACCTGTCTTAGGTACATTTGGAAGAAAGATTCATTACAGCACCTACTGCAAGGCAGCCAAAAAGAGGCAGTTGAAAAGAAGCTACAGCATGCATTAGTGTAACTATCTCACTGGTTTTCTCCCTCTAGGCCATCTACCCTGTGTTTTCTAGTTTCCACATTCTAATCAGTCATTAAAAGTTATTTGACTCTTCCTTTTGGCTGCTAGCAGAAAGATGAAAAGAAAAAGATCTGATTATAATTTTGTATGCAAACAGCTGGCTTTGGAAAAGCATGCCTAGACAACCATCCCTTCAGAAATATTTTTGGAAAAATCTTTAGAAAGCTAACCCTTAATGCCACAATCAGAAATATCAGTTTTCCTTCAGTGATTATTTATGAGTCTGTGTGTGTGTGTGTATGTGTGTGTGTGTGTGTGTGTGTGTGTACATTTTCCCCACTAACAATGAAAAGCATTTACATGTGTAGGGCTCTTTCCTCATGCCAGTGCATGGAGCTAAGTGCCCAACAAGTGTTATTTCACTTAATTCTCTCAACAACCTAGAAGGTGGGTACATTTATTTGTTTGTTTGTTTGTTTATTTATGACAGGTTCTGGCTTTATCGCCCAGGCTAGAATCCAGTGGCATGATGACGGCTCACTGAAGCCTCAATATCCCAGGTTTATTAAGTTTATTAATTTTGTGGAGAGGAGAATTCACTACCACACCAGTTCCACCTACTTCCCAACACACACCACCACCACCACCACCACTGTAAGTTAATGGTAGAGATAAATTAAAATTCAGGTATCTTGACTCCCTTTTCTGAGTTCTTTGTCCTTCACTGTTAGTTTCACTATCATTTTGTTTTGGGGACTTAGAAAAAATCTCTGCCTGCGGTACAACAAGTGTTTGCCTGTGAAGAATATGTGCTGAAATAATGAGATGATCTTAAATTCTAATAGTAGTAATTTATCTTATAATAAAAGCAGTTTAACATTTTATAAACTCATTTTAATGACTCATAACATTACTAAAAAATCAAACTTTTAACTATACACATACTTTCTCTTTTTATTTTTATTTATTTTGAATAGGGTAGGAGTTATTTCTGGGTTGGATATAAGGGTTTGAGGAAATTTATTTTCCTTCTTTGTATCTTCTTTTACTAGTTGAAATTTTTAAAATAATATAAATCACTTCTGAAAAACAGTGAAATTCTAAGAAAAAAAAGACAAGAATCTCAACTTTTATTCATTAAGAATAAACAATTAGATAAAATTTAGATTTCATCGTTCACATTTAAGATCAGAGTTTGAAATCTAACTGAATTTAAGGACGTGGACCTGAGTTCCTTGTATAAGGGAAATTCAAAGAATAAAGCCTCCCCTCCAGTGCTTTGGACATTTATTGAGTTTGCAGCGTATGTGTATTGCAGACAGCTTGATTACCCTCAAAGTACTGGCCCAGTTAATTGCATTCAAATGCAAATTACAGCTATTAAGTCATGCTGGATCTGAGCCAAAATCTCAAGCCAAATTTGTAAGAGGAGTATATTTTTTTCTTAACTGTGCAGGACCAAACCTGATAGGCAGTTTGGGGTAGTCATTCATTAGAACTTCATTCTTTGTGTGTGTGTGTGTGTGTGTTTTTTTTTTTTTTAAAGTGTATTATAGAACTGAATCACTGAAAGATAATTTTATTAGCCATTTTTAAGAGAGAACATTTCACCATTTACTACCCCTTCATCTTTTATTTATTCATCAATATCACCATTCTTTTCCCCTATCTGTTGATTGGAGTTCCTGCCTTTTTGTTTTTGTTTTTGTTTTTTTTTTTTGTCCTAACCATTTTCTTTTCTTGTTACCGCCACATGGATACTTTTCAAATTCTCATGGTTCTGGATACCCTGAGTCAAAAGATTAATAAAGCCCTAAATTTTTCATCTGTATTCTATTTCCAAAAACCTCTATCAATTAAAAATATAAAGTTGTCTTTTAAGTTGGGGATAATATATATTTCCCGAACTTCTTCACTGAACATGTGCTTAGATTTACCTCCCCTCAAAAAAAATTTTTTTAAGCTACAGTAGAGTAACAAAGTCCTAACATCTAGATACCTCAATATTCCCTATGCAGATACCCATTTGGTAGAATTGATGCTTTTTAAGCAAAAATATGCATGTTACCTGTCTAAGATGCCTTACCTAACTCAAAGTAAAACTCTGCTTTCATCTCCTTGATTGATTCTGAGACCAGTTATTTCACAGTAGGCTCTACCAAGGAAGCCTTTCCAACCAGGAGAAACTGATGACATTTGTATTGATTTTATAATGCTAAGCTACTCCTCTAATTTTTGCAGTCGTGCAAAGTGAAAAACCATTTCTGATAGAAAAATTGTTGTTAAACTCCCTTTTTGGCCCAAATGACTCTTTAAAGGACTTGTTTCTAAATACGATGTTAACAATAGGGATTAAAAAAAGATATGGACACAGTAAGATGTTGATGGACAATAAATTAACAACAAGATCATGGCAGCACCTAAACACACTTGCTTATGCACGTACCACCACCACCACCACCACCACCACCACAACAAAAGGTGTTTTTTTGATGTCAATGAGAAGTCAGGGGGTAGGTACAGTGTTCATAGTACAGGAGTTTAGACTAATAGAAAATACAGGAAATGCTTTTA